TGTGGAACTTAGAACTGGATGGAGTAAGAATATACTGAGAGTTCTTAAAGTTTGTGTTTTGATAGTTCTCAAAGCTAAAGTCTATATGTTAGTTAGATCATAAGTACTGGAGTTAGCACTTCCTTAATATTTTTCTGATCATGTTCCATCTATCTTTTTTTTTTACCATCCTATCATATTTAGACCATCTCTCTTTTGACCTATTTTTAATCTGGTTCTTCTACACTCATACCTTTCAATTTATTCTCATTGCTAGTATCATTTCCCAGGTGAAACCTTAATAGTATTTTTATCTATCTTAAAACTCTGTAAGAGCCAAGGGGACTCACAACTGAGTTATGTTTACATCTGTTTCATCTTCTGTAAATTGTGGGCTTCTTGAAGTCAGGAATATGAGTTATAATTTCCTCTTTGAATCCAAAAAGTATTAAAAAAATATTGAAAGTCTATTTGGTGCCATTGTTTATAAATATTTGTGCTTATTTTTCTTACTGGCACCATCTAGAGTCACCTGGCTTGCTCCAGCATGCTGAAATCCAGTCTCAAAGTCAGTTTGTGGTATCAAGGAGGTCAAGGTGACACAGTATTGTTGATGTACTTGGACATGGGCCATGACATTAGACACATTACGAGACTCTTCTTGCCTTGGATGACTGTCAAGAAAGCAGCATTTGAAATGTCTGTGGCTTCCTCGCTCACTTCAGCAAGAAACCAAAGATTTAAATTACTCTTTCTTTGACAATGATTAAAGGGACACCCTTTAATGTTTATCAGCTTCAACTGTGACTCCAATACTTTTTTGAAACATATCCAGTATGTCTTGGCAATCTCTAATGGCCATGTGGAGCTTCAACTGTAGTGGGGGTAGAGTTTGTTTAAAAACTAAAATCCCCCCCACTGTGCAATTATTTCCTGTTGAACAATAAGAGCAGCAGAATCTTCCAAACAAGCATTGGGTCATTCTGCATGTGCTTATTAAGAATGCTCAGAAATACAAAGAGAACATGTCTTAGTGAATCCTGCTTCCTTCAAAACATAAGAGATCATTCTAGATAAGTTTTTTTCTCTTAAATGATAGAGAAAGACGCAACATGTTTTATAGAAGCTCTAGCTAGAGTTAAAGATGTAAATTATGAACTTTGCCTGTAAGTTGTATTAATAGATATTTATTGTATATTTCTGTATATATACATATTAAACTTATCATACCTAAATAGTACATATGCAGTCTATAAATATCAAACACACATAACTAATGTTCCATCCCATGGTTAATACTTTTGTTTTGACTGACCTGCTTACAACTTTGAGAATGATTTTCATCTGATGGATTTGGCATATACCTTTTCTTCCTTTCCATACATTGCCAATTTTTCAAGGCCTGGCAAGTCCTGTTTTTACCCATGAAGCCCTGTAGACTGTGTGTGATTTGACTGAAATTGACTACCTTAAGTCTACTTTCAAGAGAAGCAGATATAAACAGCATGCTCATGTACAGTGTGATTTGTCAAATGACTTCTCTCTTATTTACAAAGGAAGTGCTCAGTAGATATTTATTGATTTTTAAATGCATATACTATGCACTGAACATTGTATAAGTTGGCCACCGGATGAACTATTTTCTGTGTTCATTGCTACTGCTATGTAGAATGATCATTTCCACAGTTCATATACAGAGCTGACACTCTAATTTTCAGTATAATTACCTAATCTACAAACTTAGGATAATTCCTGAAGACTTACCTTGTATTCTTTATAGCCCTAAATTCAAGATTTAAAATCAGGAATGGCTGAAGAGATGTCTATGCACCGAACTTGGTGACTTAATGATTCCAAGTTTGCTTTGAGTTGTTGTTCAGAGAATCTTGATGATTTGTCTTCATTATAAAAGCTAGACATTAAAGTGCCAGTCCCTCGATCATTTCCAGAAGCTCCTCATGGCCTAGCGAAACAGAGCTTCTCTGCACAGCAAGGATTTGGTTACCTCTACCCGAGGCTTCTGTGAAACCCAAGGGAACACTGAACTGCTGACTGAGGGATCTACAATGATAGACGACACACGTTATAATGGGCATTTCCTATATCCATCAGCTCTTTACGGACACCTCTCAGCAGCAGTATCCAGGTGCAGCCAGTGGACAGAGCAACCTGGGAAAGCCTTCTAACAATGAGACAACCTTGACTATTCTTAATGATGATGGGAGAAGAAATTCTCCACAGGGATAAATAACTTGCACTGAGGAGGAGATATAGAGCCTCATATTAAGTATGAGTGAGAAAAAAAAAACACCACACACACTATTACAACATTTTAAAAAGTACAATGATGATATTGTTTAATGTTTGGTTCCTATTAAGTTTTCCATGGAGCAATTATATTTAATTAGAAAAATCCTTTCAGACCTAGTGTATTTCTAGTTATGTATTTGCCCAAACAAGTAAAGCCCTGCTTAAAGGTTGAAGAGTCGACATTCCCTTACCAAACAGACCTATCATCTTCAATCTAGGTCCCAGGAAGATCCCCTTTTTCAAGTGATTTCTTCACAATAACTAACTTAGTAGTGACACATATTATACTGAGCAAACAACAATAAAGAATGAATCATAAAACTATGCTTTCTCTTAGTTCTCCACCTAGATTTTTAGTCTGCTTTATATTAAGAGAAGGAAATTGAAAATTAAATTATCTGAATCAGATCTGAAAAAAAAAAGGAACACATGGTCCATGAATGCCATCTGAGATCACGACCCATGTTATGTCGTGTGCTAAGTCTGACTGAATCTATTAGGTAGTGGCAGAAAAATACAGAAGCCAGTGTGGATGAGCATGCTTAAACATGCTTTTCTATATCCTCTTAAGCAATCAATATACCCTACCCACATGCCATTTTAAAGAAATTTTCTGGAAAACTTAAATATTTTAATTTGCTTAGATTTAACAAGAAAAAAAAAGAGAGAAATGCTTCTCTGCTAAATTATTTCTTATATAGAAGAACTGGTAAATATAACATATTTTCTTACTGTTCTTTCTCCAAGCCAACAAAAATTATTAGAAAGAAACTTGAGCAGCTAGTTTTGGACCTGGCTGTTAAAATCACCACTTAGTATATGGGGCTCCATTCTTGCATTCACTGCAGCATTACGGTCAAGACAGGAAACAGAACAGGCTTAAGACTGGAGATCTTGCCACAGTGTGAGTGGACCTACAGGACATCCGTCTAAGTAAAATAGGTCAGACACAGAAAGAAAAACCTACATGATTACATTGATGTGAAATTTTAAAAAGAAAAGGCCAAATGCATAGAAAGAACAGTGGTTGCCAGATTTGGGCATGGTAAACTGCTATTCATACAAAGTAGTAAATATGTAGTATTAACATGGCCAGTATCTTAATGGCCCCAAAAGGACTGTAGCAAAAGACAGATTTATTATCTTCAGGATTTCTGCTGAAGTAGATCATGGCTCCTTTTGCCACAGAGAAAATGGGTAATTATGCGCGCGCACAAACACACACACACACACACACACACACACACACACACACACACACCTTTTAACATTGTGTACCATAAATATAAACAATGAAATTTATTTAAAATAAGCCACTATTTTATTTTTGGCCTTCACTCTATGAACTGGAAGGCTGCTCGAATGTTTAAACTGTTGAGTGGGCCGTGGAAATTCTCTAGGCTGGGAAACAGTTCGAGCTCTTATCTCCGAGTCTGGGATGCCTTTCTCAATCATAAGACTTTTGAAAGTCTCTTATGTGATCCTTTTCACTTGTTGGGCTTTAAAGTTCCTCAAGCCTTGCCCCACGGACTGAAAGTCACCTTAGTGAAGAAAGGAGAGATGAAACCGCCACGACTTTGGCCCGGCAGAGGATCCGAGCTGTAATGCTTTGGCTCAGACCCAGGGTCTAAAAGCAGCCATGGGAAAGCTGCTGAAGTGAAGCTTGCCATTCTCCCCACGTCTGTCTCGCATAATGTTGACATTAGAACACCAGAGAGACCCAAAAATATTTCAAACAATCATGACTTCTTCGCTATAAATATTTTGGAATTGCCTTAAGAAATAAAATAACACATTCCATCCGTTCCCCCCTTCTAGGCTCCTCTTGACATCGTCCGCAGCTCACTACTGTGCGGTTTATTTTTGGTCACAAGGTCAGCAGGACATATTAAGGCGTTAAGTCGCCTGTTAAACTGTGTTTTCCAACACGAGCTGGGTGTTGAGTAAGGGAGTCAGCTACTTTTAAAGCGACAACCGAGTCCAGAGCCACCCCAAGGCAAAAAACATATTGTTCCTGCCCTCAGGTGGAACCCAGGCAAAGAAAACTGCCAAGTGCTCAAGACAGTTTTTGGAAAATGTTCCCCATGTCTTAGTGAGGACACTTTTTACCCCAGGCAAACACCCCACAGCCACTCTCATTGTTTGTTGCTTCTGCTATGACATGTGAGTCTGAAAACATTGAGACGGCCCGGAGGATATAAAAGGGAAGGGAAAGTATTCAGTCAGGGCAGTTCATGACTCACGGGTATCTGTCACCTAGCTCAGGTGTCCTCTCCGCTATAGCTTAGCCAAATGAAAACCAAGCAGAGAACAAGAGAACAAACTCGTTGGAAACCCACAACTGCCCTTTTCAGAGAAAATGATCAGGAGGACTGCATTCCACGCTCTGGAAAAGACTCCATGATGCTTAGCCACAGGTGAGCTGAGTGATTAGTAGGTTATAATGCTTTGGTGAGATTTTAATATCTCCCCCTGAGACCTGGCTTATCTTCATCATAAATGGTCCCAGTAAACTATGTAACGTTGATTTCCAGTGGGAAAACACCAGATGCCCAAATCGACTGCCACGGCCCTCCTGAACCATCCCCAAAGCAGCTCTCCTGGTGTATGGTTTTAAAGCTAAGATAGGTTTCCTGCTAGCTGCTCCAAAAATTGAGACTATTTCCTCTGTTCCCTAACACCACAGGTGAGAAAAGGAAAAGAGGACTCACCCCAGCTTCCAGAAAACGTGTTGCTGGAGACCGCCAGTGCCAAGGTTAAGAGCACCCGCCAAAGATCCATACCTGTGAGACCTGCAAATCAGAAGGAGCACAGAGTCAGGCAGAGCAGCGATTGACTGTGGTTGTAATACAACATTCAAAACCCGGTGAAGCCCGGGGCGTGCTGATGGGACATGTGTGGAAGGAATCTTAGCAAGTCTTGCATTGCCTCAGACTTCGGTATTGTCATACTTTTCATGAGAATGCACAGCAGGTTGGAGTAAATCCTATGTCCTGTGAGCATTTGCCTCAGGAAATAGCATGGACAGTGCAGCTTTTCAGGTCCTGGTCTACAACCCCAGGATCACCTCACAGCAAATGACCCCCACACACTGCTTCAATCACACGGCTGGGTGTAGTTCATTTTAATTTAATCTGGAATAGGAAAAGTTGCTCAGTGCAGGGTTTTGAGAAAGACAGGCCATAAAAGAAAAGAAGAAAATAAGGCAATCCTCTAGAATCCTAACATTTCTTAAACATTTTTGGACCAAAAGGCTTCACTGATACTAAAAACACTGTACTGATGAGCCTTCGCAGGGAGGCCTAACTGGAGGGAAGCTGAAAGGCGAGAAGCACTTTCCAGACATCAAGAGAGGCCTGATAGGCTTTGATCTTGTGAGGACTGTATGCTCAGAAACACCCGGGAATATGTCCACCAACAGCAGTCAGTCCTGGTCTTTCTTACCATTTATAAACCCTTCAATCTACTGAACGAGGGAGCAATGAACGCGTTCTGTCAGCACACACCTTCTTCTGAAGAAAATACACTTCTCTTGAAAAATAAACTATGGTGCTTACGTCCAGGATTCTCTAGAGAGAAGTACTGATTGGTTGGAAATTCTACACTTTCTAGAATGATCACTGAGTTGGACAGTTAATACTAACTACTTTTAAGCTCAGTCCCAGCATTTCATAAAACTGCCCTCTTTACAAGTTCCCGTGGCCCACCTGGTCACCACACCTCTGTGAACTTCATTTTTACCATTGTGCAAACTTCACAATACTGAAATAGTTCTTTTTACTCTCCCCAGACATGCTGAAACGATGAGCAAGAATGTTTGCTTTCATGGGTCTGTAGGTGTGGTTCTGAGGGAACAGCCATGGAATTCTGAAGGGCTATAAAATGTCAAATGGTTTACATTTTCTTTTGTAGGTAGAGGACAACCTTTCAACTCTGTGTTCTCAAAGCATTTTTACTTAAGAAAACACATCTTTATGCAAACTGACGATTTTCTTGGGTCTGAATATATCTGCACACCTTCCTACCTGTGGTTGACCCTCCCCTGCCACATACTGCCCTTTGGGATCTCTGGTAGGATCAAATGTGATGGTTAACTGGGAGATTTCGAGCAAGGTGGATGTTACTAGGACCCCCACATTTTCATTCTTAAGTGGAAGACTATGGGATGTTGGTTTTGTGTTATGTGCTGTGCAAAAATGAATCACTGGCACTCTATCCTCACATCTAAGGATGTAGGCCATGTAACATAAGTTTGGAGCCTCTAGCAGAAATGCATTAAATGGCTAGAAAAAGTATGTAATAGACTGAAAATGCTATCATGTGGATATATATATATATAATATATATATAATCCCTAAATATATATTATATATAAATAATATATTTATGTATATATAATCCCTATATATTATATAATATATAAATATTTATATAGTATTATATTATTATATATAGGGATTATATATACATATATAGGGATTATATATATATATATATATGTATAAAATAGGGAACACACTGAGTGTGGTGGTTTGAAAGAAAATGGCCCCAAAAGGACCTGTGACCTTGTTGAAGTAGGTGTGGCTTTGTTGGAGGAATTGTCTCATTATGGGTGCAGATTTTGAGATCTCTTTGCTCAAGCTTCACTCAGTGTGACACTCAGACCACTTCCTCTGGCCTGCAAGATGTAGAACTCAGCTACTTCTCCTGCACCATATCTGCCTGCACGTTGCTCTGGCCTATCATGAGGATAATGGACTGAATCTCTGAACTGTATGTGAGCCACCCCAATTAAATGTTTTCCTTTTAAGAGTTGTGGTGGTCACGGTGTCTCTCTACAGTAATAGAAACCCTAAGACACTGAGGAAGCAGACTCTAAATTTTAGTAGTGGTAATTTAACTAGCCATCTCAGAACATACAGTCAGGGCAGAAGCTCTGGCCATCTGCTATTCTGATAGTGAATTCTCAACTCCCAGGTTGTTTATTTTTCTTTTCAAGTATATGAAAATGTTTGCACTTTTTAGAAGACACCATCCCTGCCTTAGAAGTCAGGTCTTCTTTAAGTGTGTCAAAGAGACCAGGCAGGTGCCAGAAACAAGTGGAGTTTAGGTCAGAAAACTAGTACACAAATCTTCTCCAGTCCTCAGACTTTTGTGCATTCTTCATTCTGAGATGCCAGAGACTGAAGCCCAGAAGCACTGCACACATTAGGTAGGTTCCACCACAGAATCACATTCGTCCCCAGTCTTTCCGAAGCCGCTTCTCGCACACAAATCCTACATCCCCCAAACAAGGAGCTAGAGTTACTACAATTCTCTTAGAAGGCAAGTGTGACTCCACACGACACATTTTTATGTCACAAAACAAAGCAAGCAAACCAGAATCTCCCAAACAAAATTAGCCAGGCGCCTATTTCCACACCTCTATCACAGAAACACGCATATTTAAAGTTGCAATTCTCCCCAGTGGGAGATCAGAAAAGTTCATTGTCACCTGGAGCATGCTGCAGAAGGACTAGACCTGTAACCCTCTAAGCATAGGAACCAGGAGGTCAAAGAAACATTCTACAGGAGCTAACAGTTTTTTCAGCCTCTAGTCTCCCCTCTCCTTTCATTGATGTTTTGGCAGATACGGTCTAGAGAACTTGCCATTGACTTTGAGAACTTGTCCCTGCCGGCTTTGCAGGACTCCAAGTGGCACCTTCTTGGTGACAGGACTCTTCTATACTAAGCTCTAGCTGTGATCAAATGTCTTGGCTGACGTCTACATGTGTCTCTGTGGGGTTGGGAGAAGTCAGAGTTGCGTCGCCACACAGAGTTTGGAATTAATTTAATTTATACTGTGCCAGATGCCAGAAAGAGAGATTCCCCTTCCTCAAGCTTTCTTTGCCCAAATGTCCAAACTTATAACGATCCATTAACCTCGAGATAGAGGAGTTCATCCAAAGTGCCCCTCTAAGAGGCACATTTAAAGGCACACATTCTTTCCCCCAGAGGCATATATCAAATTTAATTTTTAGATTTGCAGTATTTTCCTAGGGAAAATCATTATTTAAATTTCTTGTGATATTAATTCATTCTTTGGCTACAGACTCCTGGCAAAGCAAGAGGGAGAAAGTGAGCTTTTTTTCCTTACATAATGGAACTCACACCATTTCCATTCTCAGTGCCTGAGGCATTTTGCCTGCTTTCCTCTGAGGAGAACCAGTTTAAAACTAGAATAATCCAGCTGGTGTATTCTATAGACTGCCCAACAAAGAGTGCGACCAAATTATACAATCAGGGTTATGATATACTGATCTTCATTCCATAGCTATGACATAGGAAACAGACAGAAAAGAAGAGATAGAAGTTAGGTATGACATTTCTTCTCATCATATTATAACCAACTTCTAGCAAAGAAGGTAATAGGCTACATTAAAATTAAAATGAGCAAGTATTTCTGAAATGATTAGTGGTTGCTGGTATTGTAGAAAGCATGATAGAAATTAATGCAAAAGTTATCCAGACCATGGTTGTTAACTATAAGGACTAGGTCATCCTTTAAACCGAGAGAAGATGGCGCCTACCCGAGAAGGGAAAGTTAAAGTAGGAAAAAGAAATTAGCTAGAGTTGAAGAGCTTAAACTTAGAGTCAAATGACAGGTAAGGTTTTATGTGTAAAGAAAGTGAGACAGCTATTGCAAACTTGTACAGACCAAAGCTCATTGCCAATGATCTGGTGTAGGGATGAATTCTGAGCTGTTTAGTTAATGTTCTGAGACTAGTGCATAGAGATTGTTGCCCAGACTATTAGGCAAGATTGGGTTAGCAAGGTAGGACAGCACTACCACAGAATTGTCAAGTATATAAAGCAGCTTTTGGTGTATATAACATGAGCAAAAATGAAGTTTCCTTAAGATAAAGTTGCTTCTCATGCTGTCTTACTTTAGTTACCGGGAGGTATACTAAAAAGCCCTGAATACAGGAAAGACATGTCTACGATACATGAGAGAATGAACGCATGAATGAAAAGCAGTGCTACAGGCAGGGGTCAAGATGCTGGGATCTGAGTTGCTTAGGGGAAGAGAAAGTCACATGATTGTTTGGGCTTCTTGGTGATTGACACAGTCACAAGACTCCCTGGTGAGGGAGAATTGTCTGTATCATGTCAATCATATTTTAATAAAACGCTGATTGGCCAGGCAGGCAGGATAGGCAGGAAAGCCAGACAGGAAGTAGAGGTGGAGCAAAGAGACTGGGAGCATTCTGGAAAGCAGGAAGCTCCCTCCGCAGTTCTGCCCAGATCACCAGAGAGGAAAGATGTAAGCTGCCCCGCTGGAAAAGGTACTGAGCCATGTGCTAACGTAGATAAGGATAATGGGGTAACATAAGTTATAAGAGCTAATAAGTAGCCTGACCTAATGGGCCAATCAGTTTATAACCTTATGGAGTCCTGTGTGTGATTTTCCTTGAGGTATGTCAGCTGTGGGGTACCGGGTGGGACGGAAACCCCAACAAGCCGGCTCCCTCATGTTACAACTCCCAGAAATGTGGGAGTTGTCTAGTGTGAACTTCAAGGCACAAGAATAGCAACCAAAGGGAAAGAAACTATCAATGACTGTGAGCACTGTATAGAGATGAAGGCTAGGTAAATTCAACACTTAGGCTATACTATTTTGTAAAAAATACCTATTGTTGTCAAAAATGATAGTAAAATGTGTCTTAATGACATGGGAGGCAATCTGTAGTCATAGCTTGCTTATAATTAAGCGCACACAAAGTGAACCATCGCCCTTTAACCACCTCTAACT